ACCCCCCATCTTGTTTTCCCCCAGCAGGCCAAGGCCCCTCCACGCACGCAGGCCTGAAACAGACAGACTGCCTTCCTTCACCCTTGACCTCAGAAAAGGGTCCCCGTAGCTCCGAGGGAGGCAGTTGGCCCCAGAGAGGAAGCTGGGGTTCCCAGCATCTCCTGCACCAGGCCTGGAGCAGATAGTGCTCACGCACAGACTCAGCAATAGCCCTATGAGGCCCAAGGTGCTATGACTGTGCCTGTTTTCAGGTGGGGAAACTGAGGCTCGCAGGGTTAAGGAATCAGCCCAGGGTCACACAGCCAGGAGGTTTCAGGTCCAGGATTCAAACCCTGTAGCTTTCTAACGCCAAGGCCTCTGATCTGCCCACTGTGTGTAGGGGTAGCCAAGGGCCAATTCTCACTCCTCTTCCCTTTCTCCCAAGCACCAGCCCCGGGATGCCAGGGCCCTTGGGAGACCTGGGAGGACTTACATTCAGGACCCAGAGAAATAAGTTTTGTGGAGCCAGATCTCAGCTCAAGTAAGGGCCCTGTCCCACAGATCTGCACACACAGGCCTGGCTCCTCACCAGCCTAAGACCACCTCCCAGCTGGGGGGTCCAGGACATTGTGGTCCCCCAAATGCTAACTGTCTCATCAGGGATCATCTGGTCACCCCACATGGCAACTGAAGCCCAGAGTGGGCAGAGTCTCATCTAAGGTCACAGAGTCAGACAGGGCAGACCTGTGGAGCCTAAGCATCTGCCCCCAACCCGGGCCTTGTCTTTGGGTCTCAGGCTCAGTGTGGGAAGGGCTGTGTTCTCTCACTTGCCTCTCCTACTCAGTGCTGCCCCAGCTCCTCAGCATGCGCACTTCCCAAGGCAAACTCAGGTATCAGCCTGCATCCCAGAACCTAGCCTGGGGCCCTGCCCTGGGCACATATCAGCAGCAGCAGCTAGGGAAACCAGGGCCAAAGAGGGTAGGAGCCTGACAAAGCTCACACAACAAAGGGCAGATCTAGGCAACCAAGGTCTTGCCCTCTTGCTGCAGTATATTCCTCTCTTGCAGGCCCAATTCAAATGCCTCCTCTTTCGGGAAGCCTTCCCAGCCACCCCAGCCCAAAGGAAAGGCTCCCTATCTGCTCCCAGCTCTACTCTGCCTTCAAGCCTGGTGTGTCTGGTAAGTGGGCATTTAGCCCAAGGCACAGCCACACTAGAGAGCTCTCTGCAAGCCCAGTGTGGAAGGTAGGGGCTAGGCCTTTACAAGATGCAGTCTTATTGCCACCAGCAGCCAACAATTTGGGAGCCAACTGTCCCAAAAGGCAAGTTGAACAGGTGGGCATGTGCAGGGCAGCAGGATCCTAAGCCCTAGCTAGTCCCCTGGCTCTGCCCCACCCCCTTAGATCCAGGGCCCAGGTTAAGCCTTCTCACTCTGGCAGGCTGGGCCTGTGGCCTCTTTGCTTCCAGCCCCTACCCCAGACCCTTCTGCTCAGTTGTAGGAGGTCTCAGCCCCAGGCCTCAGTGGATGTGGCAGGAGGGGCGGGAGTATAGCATGTGGAGGGTTAGAGAGGAGCTCCCAGGGTAAAGGCCACCTTCCAAACTATGCCCTTCCATCCCCTCCCCAGGCAGTTCCTCTGAGGCCCAACCCTTCCCGTGCTTCAGAGCAACACTGTGGGAAAAAGCTGAACCGGAAGCTGACCTGAGGGCCTCAATGCAGCCATTACAAAGGATAAGACATACATGTGGATTGACTTGGAAATGGGTGGGTGGTATATTGTCAAATGCGAAAAAGCAATTTGCCTAAAGATATGTGTGATATGATAGGATCTCCATCAGCACAATCTACAGATGTATTATTTGAACAGGCATGAAGATTGGCATATATGCAAAAGATAATATACATCTTCCTTAAGATATACAGCGCACAATTGACCCTGTTTCTCTCAAGTTTAGAACCAGAGAAGAAGAAAACATTTTTACCTAAACATTCCTATTTGGGCCAATTTTTTGTTAATTTAGTGGAAGGAAAAGACACCAGTATCACATATACAGCCTGGCCTCTAACTCCACTGCACAGAGCCTCCCCACTGGTCCTGGCCTCCAGCTCATCCCCCAGCTCCATCCTGTCTCCAGTACTCTCCATGCACAGGCATTTGCCACCACCCTTCGTCTATCCTCTTGGCCTTTAAGGCCCCTCTCCACCTACCCTTCCCTCTCTCCTAGTACCCCAGGCCCCGCAGGCCCCAGCCTTGTTAAGCACCAGCTTGGTCTCTTGCAGCTCAAGGCCCATCCGGCTCCACATGCTGCTCTGGGCCTCCTTCCCATCCCCCAGGTCCCACCTTCAGCAGTGGGCCAACTTCATACTCTTCTGCACTTAGCTTTCCCTGCAAGTTGGTTGTGTGTTCTGGAATCCCAGTTGCATCTACCCTTCACTAGGGCCTTGAAGGTCATTCCCAGCAGGTGTTCTGCCTCACTGGCCAGATGGGAGCCTTTCACAAGCCTCCCCCGAGGGACAGGCTTGGCCTGCTCCTCAAACTTGGAGGAAGGGCCTAGAAGTTTACTCCACACCCTCCCTGGGCCATCTCCAGTTCCATATGGGAGGCAGGGCAGGAATCTGGCCCTAAACTCCCTGGGAACCACAATGGGAGAAGGGGAAAGCAGGGCAGAGCTCTCTGGAACATCAGCTCACACCATCTTCTGGCTTGGGAATGAGTGGGGGGTGATTGAAAGAAGCCATCCCTCCCCCCCACTCGCAGTATCACTCACCTGAGAGCAGTGTCTGGGGGAATCTGACTCACAGTAGCTACATCAACACCCCTCAGCAGGACTGGGCAGCTAGGGGTGAGTGCTGAGATATTGGGTATTTCCCTCTCTCTGGAGGAGAATGATGGATGGATGGATTTGTGGATGGATTTGTGCATGGTGGATGGGTAGACAGGCTAAGGGATGGGTAGATGGGTGAATGGATGAGTGGATGGATGGATGGATGGATACAATAAGTAGATAAATGGATGAGAAGATGGATGAGCGGGAAAATGAGTGGCTAAGTATGTAAAGGAAAGAATGATCTAGCCACAGACTGGCTCAGGAGTAACTACTTAAAGAAATTTTCTAAACTTCTGAAATATGAGGGCCTGGCACCCCCCAGAGGCCAGAGTCTCTAACTACCCGTCTTCTCTAAAGTACTGGACCCAAACAATCCTGAGAACCAGGAGCCTGGACCTAGAGAAAATTAAGTGTTCTGGAAAACAAAAATCTTGGGTCCAGTGCTAGCTCTTCCCCTAACTTACTCTGGGACCTTGGGATTGTTCAACCTTCTGAGACTCAATTTTCCCAACTAGAAATGGAGCTAATCAAATCTAAGGCCTATGTTGTTATGAGATTTAAACAAAATTGCATGTGTAGAGTGTCTGGGATAGTTATCTGGCAGATATCAGGTGCTCGCAGAATGTAATTTCCTTCCCAGAGGTAGCTTCTAAGGCACACATTCATGTACACACGTACACACATATATATGCACACATGTATGCATAGACACACACATACACATATCGCTCCAGGACAGTAGAAAAGAGGGATAGTGAGACCTTAGGCCAGACCAGGCGGATGGCAGATGGGGACATTTATTCTCCAGAAGTTCCATGCTCTGATAAGACTGGCACAGCCTCAGGGGCCAAAGGCTCAAGGAATGAGGACTCGCACAAAGGCCCTGAGGTCTCCTTTGGCTCAGTCTCCTGGGCCTGGGCCAACTGGGCTGTGTGCTCAAAGGCAGCCTGCAGCAGGTGAGAAGCAAGGCAGGTGGTCCAAGTGACAAGATAGACCAGGTGCCAAGAAGTGAGTGCCGTCGTGCTCTCCAGCCACCAGTATAGACGCTTCAGCAGTGCCAGTAGCTCCAGCACCACACGGTTCTCCAGCAGAGCCTAGGGGGAGCTAAAGGCTAGGCAGGTGGAAACTGAGAGCTCAACTAGCGGCACTGTCTGGCTGCTAGCCCCTCAGCCCAGCCTGGGCCATGCCCAGTGCCCCAGGCCTGCCCTCGATAGCCTGCCCTGCACCTTGCCTACCCACCTTGTTGGGCAACCAGCCCAAGCTGCAGCGGTGGGCCTTCCAGCACAGCCTCCAGGTCAGCAGAAGCAGTAGCAAGGCTGCCAGCATCAGGCTGTGCAGACATGACAGAAGCAGGTCCGTCCAGGTAGTCACAGATAGTCCCAGCCGCTCCCAGGTACCTAGTTGCTTCGGGACCAGACCCAAGACCCGGGCACAGCCCAGCATGCCCGCCCACACTAGCCTGGGCACCCTCAGCACCAAGTATACATGGACTTCAATCAGCGCCAGCCCAGCCCGTAGAATCCGGCCCACAGGGCAGGCTGCAAGGCCAGCTGGTGAGTGGTCCTGCTGGCCCCAGGACCCCTGAGCCTCCTGGACCAGCCCTGACAGCCAGTGGTTGAAGAAGATGATCTTAAGGAGCAGAAAATTGTAGAGGTGGACCCGGTTCTGGACAAGCTGCAGGAAGAGGAAGAGAAAATCATCACCCATTGTCACTCTACCTGTCCCAAGTTTCATTGTAGGGGTGGAGCTGCCAGATCACCTTGGGTCCAGCCCTCCTCCTCGAGAGGCCTCAGTTTCCCCACACAAGAATGATCTGTCTACTTCTAAGGACTCCATTCTCAGGAGAGACCTATAGAAGGTATCTCATATTTAGTTTTCTTTCCTTTGGATTTACATGATTATTTTTAATACTCCAGACTGAAGGAGGTTGACATTATTATTATTATTATTATTATTAATATTATTATTACTTAAGGAGTGACCTTCCCCCCCATCCCAGGATTTGAACCCAGGTCAGTTTCTCCTCCCAAGCACTTGGGCTTTCCTGTGCATCACTTGCTTCTTGGTGTCATGAAGGCAGCTGGGAGCAAAGGGCAGTGTCATTAGGGGTAGAGAGATGTGAGGCATGGGAGGCGTTGACAAAATTAATGACTGACCTACTGAGAGGGGTGAAGGAGAAGGAGGGGCCCAAGAAGATGTCCAGATTTCTGTCCTGGGTAACAAGATGGATATGATGTCTCCCATTCACTGGGAGGAAGAGTGGGGTTGGG